TGTCTCGCAGCTCCAGGGCTTCATAGATACCAGTGGAGGCGCCGCTGGGGACCGCTGCTCGAAACATGCCTGGGAAACAGCAAAACACGGGCATGAGATGGGCTGAGGGTGAAAAGGAGGAACAATCCTCATGCACCAGCTTCTGCCCTGCTTTCCTGGGAAAGGATGTGGCAACCACTTGTGCAAACGGATGGCCCCGCTAGCTGGCTGCTCATGGCTGGTCTTCTCAGAGGTGGAGCACCTCTTGGAGGTGGAGCACCAGGGTGGCAGAAATGAATGTACCCAGGGCTTCCAGACTGAGAAACCTGGATCTCAAGTACCCAGAGGTCCACACTGATACCAGAACTACGGGTGGGGGTGTTGGTCAACAGCAGGCTGAACATCAGCCAGCAGTGTGCCCAGGTGGCCAAGAAGGCCAACAGTATTTTGGCCTGTATCAGGAACAACGTGGTAAGCAGGACTCAAGAGGTGATTGTCCCCCTGTACTCGGCACTGGTGAGGCCCCACATCGAGTGCTGTGTCCAATTTTGGGCCCCTTACCTCAAAAAAAGACATTGAGGTGCTGGAGCAGATCCAGAGAAGGGCAACAAAGCTGGTGAGGGGTCTGGAGCACAAGTCTTACAAGGAGAGGCTAAGGGACCTGGGGTTGTTCAGTCTGGAGAAGAGGAGGCTGAGGGGATACCTTCTCACTCTCTACAACTCCTTGAAAGGAGGTTGTAGAGAGGCAGGGGTTGGTCTCTTCTCCCAAGTCACAGGCGACAGGACTAGAGGAAATGGCCTCAAGTTGCGCCAGGGGAGGTTCAGGTTGGATGTCAGGAAAAATTTCTACACTGAAAGGGTTATCAAGCATTGGAATGGGCTGCCCAGGGAGGTGGTTGAGGCACCATCCCTGGAGGTGTTCAAAAGATGGGTTAACATGGTACTGGGGGACATGGTTTAGTGATGTTTATTTTTGTCAGAGTTAGGTTGATGGTTGGACTAGATGATCTTTAAGGTCCCTTCCAACCTAGATGATTCTATGAAGTCTGGCTCCTCAGCCCTCCTCCTGGTTCCAGGGGCAGCCTCACCCACAGCTGCCAGTGGCTTTCTCCCCCTGCGACTGGGGCTGGATTTCTGCCTTGGTGAAGAAGGAAGAGACTGGTTGGATGCCTGCTCTGGCCCCTCACCCCTCAGCCCACCTTGCTTTGGGCCCAGTGCAGATGCAGCTCTTCCAGTTGACACAGATGTGCATGTACATGCCTGTACAGAGATCTTGGGGACAAACCTTCCCCTGCCTCGTGAGCACGGCCATGGGTGTGTTTCCAAACTAGTACTATGTCCCAGGACTAAACAGGGCATCATGGGGATGTGAAAAGAAGGTAAATATATTTATGTTCATGAATCTTTCTGTCCCTGCCACCATCAGGCACGTGGCTCCAGTCACATACACGCAGCCAGCTGTCTCATCATGATTTGCCCAGTGTGTGTGCTGGGAGTTGCTGGCTCACCTACAAGCAGAGTTTTGGTGGCTGCCTGTTCCCCTGGCTTGCTGTCTGCTGGTGGGTCACCTGAGAAGACCCTCTGTGCTCTCAGTGGAGGGTGCCAGGCTGCTGTGCGGTGCCAGGGTAGGCAGGAGCCCACCCCTTCCACCTCTTCTCACCCACGTACCTTTGTGTGTGTACAGGTCCACCTCAACAGTGGGGTTCCCACGGGAGTCCAGGATCTCGCGGGCATGGATCCTCTCAACTGCCATGGTGAGTCTGTGGAGAGGGAGAGGAGAGGAGAGGAGAGGAGAGGAGAGGAGAGGAGAGGAGAGGAGATGGAGCCCAAGATCAGCATGTCTGGGCCAGACCAAGGACTCCTTCAGTCCAACATCGTTCAGTTCTGAGAGGCCCCAGATGTGGTGCTCACCCTTCTAATACCTAGACGAGACACCCACAGAGAGAAGGGAGCTCAAGGAAAAGCAGCCTTGGGAGCTGGAGCTAAAACTATTGGCTCAAGAAAATTTAGGAATTCCCATTAAAGCCCATATGGTGAGGATCTACCCACATTTTGTCCAGGAACTGGTTATCCAGTTGAATTCACCCTGTCCCTTTGCTGCCGGTGATGAACTAGGAGCCCTGTCTCCCTGCGCTGCCCTTTCTCGGGTCTCCTGACGTGAGCCTGGGTGGCAGAGACGGGGAGGGTGCCACAGCATCCACGGGTGGCAGAGACAGGGAGGGATCAGCTGGCGCAGCCGGCAGGTGCCCCCGGCGCCAAGGACAAGGACACGGCACCGTCCCCCAGTTGATGGTTGGACTAGATGATCTTAAAGGTCCCTTCCAACCAACCTAGGAGATTCTGCGATTGGTTCTGTCCCCCTTCCCCTTGCCGGGAGGCGAGGACAGTCCCTGCCAGGGCCAGGCCGCCGTGTCCCTGCGTGGCGGGAAGGGAGCCAGCCTGGCGCGGGGGATGCCTGGGGGCAGAGCCAGGCAGGGCAGGGGGGGCAGCCGCCCCATGGGGACCCTCAGCCCCTCACCAGCCTGGTGTTGGGGGGAGCTGCCCCAGCCTGGCTCTTGCAGACCCCCAGCTGCCCGTTTCCCCCCAGCTCAGCCTTCCTCTCTCCCCCCCGTCTCTCTCCCCCCGCCAGGTCAGGCTGTGCTGAAGCGACAGGAGTGTGGCGGAGGCCGGCAGCCCCGGGGAAGCCATCTTGCTGAAGGCCGCAGTGCCTCAGACGCGGGGGAGAGGGCTCTGAAGGGAGGGAGGGGACCTGGACCTTCCCCTAAGATGGAGAAGTGGATGAGACCAGGAGGAGTCTCTGTTGGGTGAGGAGGAAACCTGGCGCCTTGGGGTTAAACCTGAAGTGGAAAGCAGGCTGGTGGGTGAGGGTGGCTGCTGGAAAAAGCTGAAGTTTGGGGGTCCAAAACGACTTGTTTCCCCCCCCCATCCCACCTTTTCTTGTTCCCCTGGCCGTGGGGCCGTGCGATGCCGGGGAGCCGCATCCTCCCCCCCAGAGAGGGAGCAGCAGGGAGGGAGGTGTGTGTCACCCCACGCCACCGGCAGCTTTTCCTCCCCCGGCTGCCACGGATGATTCATTCCCTCAACCCCACGCAGGGTTGAGAACCTCCCTCTGCACTGGGGTAACCACGGGGACCCAGCCAGAACCAGGTTGTGGTAACGCCTGGCCAGGGGTATGGCCACCACCATGGGGCTCTGCACGGGGTTTTGGGGGGGTGTGAAGCAGGGGGGGAAGCTGCAAATAGCACATCACAGCACTGAGGGGAGCTAAGAAGCAGCCTGGGGGGCAGCCAGGGTCTGGACCCCGTTGCCTCGGGTGGGTGGGGAACGGCAGAAGCGTGAGGAGATGGCGCTGCTCTGAAGTTTTCGGCAAGAGCTTCCCGTACTGGGGAGTTTGAGTCGGCGGCAGCAGCAGGGCTCCCCGGAGCCCGCGCAGGGCCCTCCACCATGTCCATCTGGGCTGGGATCCCCCATCAGCCGCTTTGGCAGGGCTCCTCACGCCATCTGGCACACGCCGCGGGAACTTCCTCCAGAGCCGTGCCCGCGCCGCTGCCATCTTCCTCTGCAGCAGTGCCCTGGCCATGGCCCAACAGCCTCCATTGGGGCAGCAGCGGGGGGGGGAGAGGAACAGGACCCCCTTAAAGTGATCTTTGGCCCTGCCAGCTGCGGCGCCTCTCTGCTTAATGTGGTCACGTTGCCCGCGGTCGCATCCCTCTGCCCACATCCACCTGCCCCTGCTGGAAGCCAAAATGACAAGCCCGGATCCAGCCTTGCCAGCCCCACCCCATCATTCACTTGCTGTCTTCTCCTCTCTAGCCCTTCACGCCCCTTGCTCCGCTTGTGTCCCCTCTGGACAGTGTTTGCCCTCCTTTGAGCAGCGCAAAGAACCGCCCTGAAATCCCTGGCATCAGCTGCACTGTCCTGAAAAGAGGTCAGAGGCGGATAAGCCAGGATAAGGGATTGGGACGGAGCCATAGCTGGGAGCCTGAGGACCAGAGGGAGGAGGAGAGGGGAGCCGGGCTGGGAGGCTGGGCAGGGCGGCTGGCACTGCTGCAGTGCCTTCCCGTGGGCACTGCTCCCTGGCACTGCCCGCGGCCAGGGCATCGTCTGGCTGGAGCTGGCGATTCCAGGCCAGCATGGTGAAGACCTTTTACCCCCCACCCCCCCTCCCCAGCC